GTACGAACCTTCAAGAAGCCTGCAACGATTAACAGATATTTCCTTGGGACACCAGGTAAACTGATACGATTAACGTTTAGCCTCAAATACATTTGTTCTAAGCTAACCTCCTCAATAAAAGTTACAAGTTTGCTAGATATATTCTGAGTTTTAACTTCAAAACCATATTGTATCCACCCAAACATCTAGTTTAGGACCAGATAAATGTCTGCAATTTTATCGTAAGCCAAATTATTTAAAGGGACTGTAGATATAACTTTAAAGTAACCCTCTAGTTAAAGGGACTGTAGACGTAACTTTAAAGTAACCTTCTATTTAAAGGGATTGTAGACGTAACTTTAAAATAACCCTCTATTTAAAGGGACTGTAGACGTAACTTTAAAATAACCCTCTATTGAAAGGGACTGTAGACATAACTTTAAAGTAACCCTCTATTTAAAGGGACTGTAGACGTAACTTTAAAATAACCCTATATTTAAAGGGACTGTAGACGTAACTTTAAAATAACCCTATATTTAAAGGGACTGTAGACGTAACTTTAAAATAACTCTCGATTTAAAGGGACTGTAGGCGTAACTTTAAAGTAAACCTCTATTTAAAGGGACTGTAGACGTAACTTTAAAGTAACCCTCTATTTAAAGGGACTGTAGACGTAACTTTAAAGTAAACCTCTATTTAAAGGAACTGTAAACCGAAACGTAACTTTAAAGTAAACCTCTATTTAAAAAGGCTGTTACGATTAACAACGGTACACTTGAAACCTTCATCTGAGCACAAATTATTAAGTTTTTTATCAGAAAACTGATTTTTTTCGTTTGTCATTTATATAAACTTTTTATTTAGAAAAACGAGGATATCTTCCTCATTTTACTCTATTAGAGGATTAAAGGGTACCGTTGTGTATCAAGCATGGACTCTTTATCACCACTACAGTTCCTGAAACAGCGAGTTTTTAACTATTATTATTATTATACTATATATTTGTTTAAGGGTGAGTTCCAGACGAAAATACTTCGTCACCGGTTAGTTTCTAATTCTGAAGTAAAGTTTGGAACTTTTATGTGGGGAGCTACTGGAGAACAGGTATACAGCAACCATGGAATAGATCTGCCAGGGGGTTTTACATTATTTTGATACAATGTTTCTTGTTCTATGTCTTATAATGTGGATCTGTATCCGTCCTGAAAAGAATGGATCCGTATTCAAATTAGGGTTTCCACGCTTTGACATTTTTCTTTGCTGTTCGTTGCGCTAAATTTGCATCTTGAAATTTAACAGTCTAATGATTATTCAATTACTGACTCATTATACTAAATCCATCTTAAAATCACTCATTAACCAACTTTGTGATATTTCAAGATGCAATACTCAGTCAAATTTGTCAAAAATTTCATTGTAAAACAGTTTAAGAATTCAACACACAAAATATTAATATTAAGTAGTATTGAAAAAATGATTTGAGTTGTGCTTTTTTGCGTGACGCGGCTGGATTTTTTAAAATCACACTTTAAAGGCCCTAAATATACCATTTAAAAAAAGTAGTTTTGCCCGGAAGAGTCAAATGTTGTGGTACAGAAGGGGAAATTGTGGTGGCTCATGGCTGCTGGAAGAGAAAAAAGCTAATATGTGGCACGGAAGGGGAAATAGTGGTGGCTCATGGCCGCCTGCCTTCCCCCGCTCGTGTGAATACATTTTTCTGAAATGAAACTTTTTTTCCAACAATTAAAGTTTTCACGTTGTAGACCCTGGATGCTACTATAGCTACTGGTGTAGACTGGAAGTCTATAACCTACCCGGCCTGCCTTCCGGTCACCACGGACTATAAACCTGATCAACGAACTTTAGAAACAGAATACTTGATCAGGTTAGACAGGGTTTAAAGGGACTATTCACGGTGAAAATATTTAAGGTACTGTTCATGTTTTAATAATTTCTAAGAATTAAATCACATTTTTAATTAATCAATTTTATTTTCGTTTATAACCAAAGTTTCTGAGAAGCAAAATTGAAACAAAACGTTTTTCCTTGGACAATAAATTTCGTTTCAGTTTTATCTTGTTAAAATTTTATTTAAATTTATACTAATTCAGATTATAGTTTTCATCATTAAATGTTTCATGTTCAAAATAAATGAAATATCCATTTTCGTTATTCAATAAAATATTATTTCATTTATTCAAATATTAATGTCACTACTTCTATAAAAGAAATGAGCACGGGGAAGTATACATCAATTAAAGTTTATAAAGTTATAACATTATTTGATATATATTGAATCAAAAACTAATTGGTAAATATAATTAAGAGAACTAACGCTAAGTGCTTTTTGTAGTGAATATAATCTTTCTCCTGATGAACATAATTCTGAACATATGCCAAGATCACCTTTACAGAAACCTCCACTCTCAACAAGGAATTATCATTACTGTGCTCCGTGTATAGAGCACAGAGTAAAAAATAAAATTTATGATTTCTACTTCTAGATTAACGATTGAGGCGGCGAGATACAATGTATGCAAAATGTTAAATGATTTGATCTCTTTAAATTGTATGTTTTAGTAAAAACTTTGGTTCATCTCGGACCTAAGAAAAATAAAAATATGCAATCTGAAAAATTGAAAAATAATAATTTTTTTATTTTAATAGTTGTTATGACTTCGATAAACTTGTTGTTAATGATAGTAATAATAGAGAAGTGTTCACGGAGTTAATATCTCAGAGGTTATCCCAGAACTTCCAACTAATCATTATAAAGGCAAGTTTACCAGCTTTCGAAAATAATTTAATAAAAAGATATTTTGATAGTTTTCTTTATCTTTGAATGTGCCATCAAAGTTTTTTTTCCATTCGAATACAAAGATAAAAATATATAATTGGGACATTTTCAGATGTCACATGTCTACAGAATAAAGGTTGATTATTTATTACTAATATTATTATTATTATTATTATGAATCCGTTTCAACAATTAACATTAACAAATGCTGGACGGAATTTTAATTAAAAGAAAGGAGACTACGATCATACAGTTTTGGAATTTGTGGGCACACTAAAAGTTCAGTTTCTAATAACTGTGTATCTTTAGTCAAGTTTCGTAAAAAATTAGCGTGGAGCAAAAATATGTTAGGCTTTTTTTAAGTTGAATTTTCCAGGCGGATATTTTTCCTGTGTTTGAATTTAATTTTCATTCAAATTTTTTCAAGTTAAACTTTTGACATAATATCTGATTTAAGGAATTTTCCCTCAAATTCGTATGAGATTTTAGTCGGTTTTTTTGTTTGGGCCATCAGGGTAAATAGCACTGTGTGGCAAGGACATTTAGGAGGTACAGGGTTACCCACAAAAGATGGCACAGAGACGACTGTGCGGAATTTATACTGTCTGTATTCGATTATTTAGGACTCCATGGCGCATCCCACTGTAAATGTGTTTCTTTCTTTGTCTTATCATTTAAAGGCCATGACAAGAATTCATGGCAGAATATTTAGTTTAACCCAGACAAAGTCATATCTAAAGATTTTTAGGTCGTCGTTACAGTCGCATCCTATGTTTTTAACCCTGTAGCTTCTGATTTCACTCGTCACTGGTCAAAATACGGTGTGCTCAATACACATTGGTACAAGTATCTACTAGTACCGGCAGGTCCTGTTTACACCTGATTATTGACCCTGTACGAATTCTGTACATGTATGTACTAGTACCGGCAGGTCCTGTTTACACCTGATTATTGACCCTGTACAAATTCTGTACATTTATGTACTATTACCGGCAGGTCCTGTTTACACCGTACCGTCCACACCTAATATTTGGCCGTCCACGAGTTCTTTAGCCTGGTCTAGCTTAAATGGGAATAACCCAGGCGGACTAAACCAGTGTGAATATCTAATAATCATTAATGTTTTCTAGAATGAATCCTTGGATAAAACTGACGGTAACATGACAAACCCTATGAATAGCTCTGGTCGGGTTACATCCCTGGTACGAACCTTCAAGAAGCCTGCAAGCGAGGAATACTGGTTGTCCATAGGGAAAATTTTTCACAAACTTTCCCTAACGGGACAGGTCAGGAGGGTCGAAAATGTCGTCTTTTATTCTTATTGGACTAATTCTTTTTAGTTTCCATTCAACATTATCAACACCTATACTTAAAGTGAGAATAAGAAAACTGTAGAATGGGAAGAAGAAATTATAGCAATAAGTAAACATATTTTATGTTCTTACAAAGCAATGGTTTACTAGTAACTTATTAAATCACTTAAATTAATACTGCGCAATTTAAATTTCTTGTGTTCATTGGACTGTTTAGCGACATACTTGAGTCTTAAAGTCGTCTTCCTATTCTAGAGTTTCTTAGTTTACTGTAACCTTAGATATCCAAGTGCGTGCTCTGGGAAAGCGCCTTTAAGTTACTGAACTGGCCTCCAGATTTTATGCAACTGCTTTATTGTGTTTTTCGATTTCAACTTCAGTAAAAGATAGTGAATGAACTCATTTGCTATAATTCTAGTGAATTATTTTAAAATATCATAGTTTCAATATGTTTGGCAGTTTTTTTGTTGCTGAAATACATTTGGGCCAATAATCATAAACATGTTTGCGAGAAAAATGTTTTAAAAGCTTTAAAACCAAGTGTGGTATAAATTAGATATCCATGTTTTTTTTTGAAAACTGTTTATTTTCAATAATGTTTTTTTTTTCTGCCAAAGTAACTATCAGAAATTAACAATTTTCAAGCAAGAAAAATGACGTTATCTAATATTTTTAAAATTATTGATCAATTAAATGTTTGAAGAGTAATGTTGTAAATCGTATATGCACCTCTATGCATGAAGACTGAAGAGTCCCTTAACAATACTACGACAGTCCCGTAAAGGCACGCCGTCGCCGCTACCAAAATTTAATTAATTCATCCTTGGAATACAAATCAATGGAAAGAAGAAATTTTTTGCACGCCTGAGTTACTCTTCTTTTTTGTGGGGGGGGGGAGTGGGAGACGTTCCCCCAATATTACGGGGGTAAGGGGGCATCCTATTAATCTGGCTTTAAACATTTTAAAAATGAAAATGATTTAACTTTAATTGTTTGTTTAGATGATAAATGTTGTAAGGTACTCCCCGAAACACCCGTACCCTAACCTACACTACCGATACATGTACAGGTTTCTTGCTCCAGATAATGATACATACGAGGTACGGTACATTCTTAGACAATTTATATATAATATGAATAATTTGCTTGTCTGTTAAAAATTTTTGTTTCCAAAAATCGTTAAAACGGATGAACCGATTCAACCCAAATTTGCCGGTAACAAATTTTGATTTTTCAAAATCTACGAAAAAAATGGATAAATCCGTAAACAAGTTTTGTTATTGTTTAATAATTCAAGAAGAGAAAATGTCGTGGTTAAAAAGCAATGAATAAAAGTTTTAATGGAAACGCCCTGGAAGCCTAGTAACATTTGGTTCTGGAATAGAAAACTGATTAAAATATTTTGGAATTTTTACTTTTAACTTATTTTCTACTGATCTTCATTTGTTTAATTTTTAACTGGCTTTAAAAAAGTTAAATTTAAATCTGCATTGCCATTTTGTTCTGCTAGACGTCCTGGGTAGAGTTTAACATGGAGAAGCTTGAAACCTACAACTGGAACTATCTGGACTTCTACGTGTGTACAAGAGGAGATCAGGGATTTAATAACATTATTCACAAATCCCTGTAAAGATGGATACATTGTATTTCTCAACCTTTTTAAAATTATCCATAGGAAAATGTTTCACTGATATTCTTTATATGAAGTAGAACCCATGAAATAGTTGAATATGAAGACGACATTTATTGGGAGTGACTGGTAAGGTATGGTAGTTGAATTGAGAGTGAAGTATTATTGAGAAACGATCTATAGGTACCAAAAGAATTTCTTGATATTGTTCTCTATAATATTGCACTCTCAGTTCAACAACCTTACCTGGCCCAGTCACTCCCTTTTTGTATTTGGTGTTGTTTTGATGAAGCTATTTTTATGATTGTTGTGTAACTGAACTTATTAGGTGAAATGGGGTTTTTACCTGTGTACACTGCACAATTGCTGTGTTTCATGTTTATTTTACTATTTGGAATCATTACTTGAGTCTGATAGTTAGCTTTCTTTTCCACTGTTTATGGGTCCCAGTGTCCATATTGGATAAAAAAATATTATTTTTTTATGATTCCTGAAGTAAAGCCAAAATTGACATAAGATTTGTTTTCCACATTTCTACTCTTTTCCTTTTTAGAGGAAGAAGATTAAAAGAAGATAACTTATTGTATTACTCTCCTAATAACTTAATGAGGGTGGGCGGATTGATTTTCACAAAAAACATGTCCCTGAACCCAGATTAATTAAAGTTATAAAATGGTTGGCTAGGATTATTATCTGTCTGAAAGCTTAAAGTACTGGAGGTACAGGATGTATGTTCTACCCCTCAGACCGTTTGTACCCTACACCAAGGCTATAATTGAAGGTCCAGAGGATATGAGGTAATTAGGTTATCAAGAAATTCAGAGGTGCAACTGGGTTAGTTTTATGGGGGGGGATAGGGTGTTTTGCTTTAGAGCAATTATATTTTTAATGAGAAAATAACGATTCAAAAATGACCGAGTAATTCGTTGAATCATCACAAATCATAATGCCAGGCTTTTTTGAGTAAAATAATATTATAAACATAAATACGTTGTCCTACTAAGGATGAGATTTCAGAGAAGACTTTACTTGCATAATCGAAACGCAAATATTGAAATCATTTCAAATGGTAAAACCTCAGATCATTTCTTAAAGTAAATTCACTTCAAAATGGTATTATGGAAGTAGGACCTCCCTCAAAGTCTGATTTAATTTCATTTCATTTAAATTCATTTTATGTCATTTCATTTCATTCCATATCATTTCATTTCATTTTATTTCATTTCATTTCATTTCATTTCATTTCATTTCATTTCATTTGATATTATGGAAGTAGGACCTCCCTCAAAGTCTGATTTAATTTAATTTCATTTGAATTCATTTTATGTCATTTCATTTCATTCCATATCATTTCATTTCATTTCATTTCATTTCATTTCATTTCATTTCATTTCATTTCATTTGCTCTAATGATCGTTGAAACGTGAAACATGATTTTGAATAAATAATTTCCCAAGTATAAAAATCAATGTTTAGGTGTGATATATATACTCGAGTATATCTGGAGGACAGGGTTAGTTTAGCTGAAGGATTTCTCAAGTTTATAGAAACCTGTCTGAATAAGGTAATTTTAAAATATGTCCGGCCTTCTGAGCACACTTTTTATACCTAACTTCACAAAACAGATCTAATAAATTGGCGGATAAGCATGGAGAATAAAAGTTTCCATTTATTTTATAATCCCCTTAGACATTGTACATTGTACAATGTACATTGTAAATTGTACATTGTACCACTTCACAGCTGGTGGTACATTTGTGGGAATTATGGTTCACTTTTACGGCAAGACACGCCAACCCTCTAGTCGATGCTAGTAATAATAATGCATTATTTGTCATCTCAAACTTTAAAGAACAAATAAACTTTCTTGAGGGACCGAATTCAATTAATTAGAGAGGTCGCTCAACTTCCTACCGCTGGTTCAAATCCTGAATAAACGATTCAAATCCTCATGGAATCTTTGACTATGAATCGTCGGTGATTCAGGATTTGAACAGGCGGTAGGCAGTTCAGTGACCAAGCTTTCAAACAAATATTGACGATTTAAAGAAGATTTCAGAATTATTTTGGATCTTATTGCAAAATAGAAATTGGATGGAAATAACTTGTAATATCAAGTACAGGGTTACCCCACTAAGGATGTGACTTCAAAGACGACTTTACGGAATTCTTAGTGTCTGTTTCCTGTTATTCACGATTTCATGCAACTTTCCCAAATCATTTAATAAATCATTTACAGACCACATTAACAACAGAAGACCCAATATAAACTTGGGATCGTCATAGTTGACAAATTTCAAGTCGTCTTTATAAAAGGAGAACAATGTTATTCCAAGATGAAATGTTGAAAAAGTATAAAATTGTTGAGTGAAAAAAGGATTTTTTTAAAAGTACCTCATTAAATTTCATAACCTTGTCATACTGATCAATCCCATTAAAGTGCTTTTCGCATTTCTTGAAAGTTGGACAATTATTTTAATAGAAAATTTTTATAAAACTATTTGAGATAATTGAAAAAATAATTTTAGTTGAAGCGTCCAACCCCGCTTCCTGTTGAGAAACAGTTCCTTAAAGGAAGAAGCAACACTATGGCTGGAGAGCTAAAACCTCCAGGCGCTAATGAAAGGTTAGTTTTTAACTTTTTATAAAAGGGACTGTAGACGGAATTTCATATTTATTTATCTTGTGCCGGAAAACTCATGTGTATGTTGACATGGAGTTTGCTCTATTACCTAGGGTTTTCCGGCACTCAATTTTAAGGATATTATCGAATCCTTTATCAGACTAAGGTTGAAAAGTTATTTATCTGTAAATGGGACATTGCTGAATTATCAGTTCACCAAGCTTTAAAACAGCAGGTTACACAAAAACATGGAAACAAAGAAAAGATGTCAATTTACAGGAACTCTTTTGTGAACGTATTATTTGAAAAAAGTTTGTTAGAAATCAGAATTTAACTCATAAAGTCGTCTTCATTGTATTGATATAAACGCCGATTACTGTAGATCCGGACAAACCGAATTCATTATCAGGATCGAATCTATGAGGATAGAAGTTGAAAACGAGAAACAGGATGCATGATAATTACTCTATATCAAAATAGAATGGACATTGGACATTAAAAACATAATCGTTTAGATCAAAGTTCCGGGAGCGATTAGGCTCTAATCGAGCAGTAGAGCGGAGTGGGCGGGATAGAGCAGTGAGTGGACCGCCTAGACCTATAGGTAAACTATAGTTTGCCAAGTTTTCTGCTAAATATATCAAATTAAATTATGTAAATTTAAAACTTATTTGCCAAAAAATTGATTTAGTGTTTGCCACAAAATCAAATTTAATACTCTCCTTACATCTGTGCAAACAGATGGTGTAAATCTTGATCTTTCAAATTTCGCTTATTCGATCTAACAGAATTCATAATTTGAACTAGTTAATATCTTTGAGATCAAGTTCCGAAGATAAGGGGATTAGAAAATCAGAGTTTGTGGCAAAGACTCAACTCCCTTGCTTTTCTAAAATTGCTTATTTAAAAAAGAGAATTTTAGTTTTCCAAAAATAATTTCCTCCGCAAATAAAGATTAATAGGATTATTATAAGATTATGGATTTTATTTGATGGTTGTAACGAAAACTAAAAAAAAAGTTTCAAGAAGAAATCTTAACTTTCGCGAAGTATACATAATGTACAAAATCAAATTAAGCACTGTTAAACCCGGATTAAATTGAGCCATAAACATAATTTCTACATAATTTGGTATAATGAACTCCACCAACGGTTAATGTTTAGAAAGGGCTAGAACAGAGAGTGGTAGTGCTAGATTGGAACCTGATCTAATTAAACCTCTGGCAAATATTCAAATCTCTGATTCATTCAGTGATAGCCAGGTAACAGTATTATTGTTATATTTTTTATTATTATTATTATTATTATTATTATTATTATCATTATTATTAGTAGTATTATCATTAATATTATCATTTTTAAGGAGAGTGTATTTAACACGTCAGTGGGAAATCTACAGGATTATCAGGTATCAAAGTTAATATTTATGATCAAACTTTTAGAAAAATAAATAACTTCAATTATTCTTTTTAATGACATGTTTTCGTCGTAGGTTAAATGTAGAGTAAATAGAAAAATGATTTTATCAGCTATGAATTATTTCTTCCTGATTAATCGTACAAAATAAATGTTATTTGTGTGGTAGTTAGCAATCTTTAGCTAAAGGGACAACTATATAATGTCAAGTGACTCTTTATTTAGAGAGTGACATGTCCCATACACAAGGGTACCCGAGAAACTTTTATCTGATAAAGAAGAAGTGAGCTTTCCATGTTTTGAAAAGTTAAATATTTTCAATTTTATTTTCTCTATAAAAGTGACTTGCGGATTTCTGCTCACAGAAACAAACGAAGATATCTTCCAAATCGATGATCAAGAAAAAGGTTTAAAGGGTAGCTTTGTGACTAGGGCAAGCCCCTGTTTCAAATGGAGGGTCACATGAAATTACAGACCCATTAAAAGGTTTTGTAGCCCCTGTGATTCGTCATGATTTCATATCTTTACTGAGAATTCGAGTTCACATCATGCTGGTTTCTTTAAAGATTTAAATATCAATTGAGATAAATTTTTAAAAACATGTTCAGCTAGTTCGTAAAGCTATTTGGAGAGATGCTTTTCTAAACCCTCGAGTTAAGGTATTCTGGTGACAGTCCTTAATATTGAACATTAAGACCGGTGGAAGAAACATACTTCAATACTTCTGCACACAATTGCACATAACATTTTCTTGAGCCTGTACTCCAAATGCCCTTTCTTCATCCTCTATTCTCTCTTTCCCTTCCTCCCTACTATACTCTCTACCCTCTTGACCTCCCTCGTGTACTCTCTCTTGCCCTCCTTCCTTTTTTCACTCCATGCCCCTCACTCTCTCTTGTTCTTTCTCTTGTCCTCCCTCATGTACTCTCTCTTGCCCTCCTTCCTTTTTTTTACTCCATGCCCTCACTTTCTCCTGTTCTTTCTCTTGTCCTCCCTCTATTATGTAGTCCGTTTTCCCTCACACCCTCCTGCACACCTTACCCTTCCTACCTTATGTATTCCATCTTGCCCTACCTACCTCCATACTGAATGCATGCCCTCCTGTACTCCAAGCTCTCTCTCACTCCTTTACTCCCTGTTGCCCTCTCTACCTGCTGCACTCCCTGTAGCCCTCTCTCCTGTAATCCTTCTACTTCTTAGAAATCTAAAAAGTATGTGTTTACTTAACTCCGTAATTAAACAATAAGATTCTATACATTTCTTAAAAAGTTTTTTTTTGGTTGGAGAAAATTTTCTCTTCTAGATGTGACAGGATTTAAACCCCAACTATGTTTTACTGTACGTTATGACCTCCAGTGTGTACCCTGCACCTTTATATGTACTCTTACAAGCTGCACTTACACATCCAGCTTACATATGCACTACATCAAACATTTTAACCTGCACCCTCTTCACAAATGTGTTGTTTGCTATACCTGCTATTTTGTACCCTGGAAATAGAGATGGGCATTGTTTTTTAAACGAGTGAAATTTTTTGAGAACGAACCAAATTTGTTTTGTAATAAGGTTGTCGTTTAGAAAAGAAACGAATGGATCGTTCAGAGAAATGAAAAGAAAAGATTTTTTAACAATTTTTTTAAAATTATCTTTTTTTAATGTACGAACAATTTTATTGAACGAACGATTTTTCTGACCTAATGATTTTACTGATAAAACTATTTTACTTCACGATCTTTCAGTGAGAAAACGAACGTAATAAATGGAAAATCAACGATAATTTTGAGAACGAACGAAAGGGTTCGTTCTGGAACAATGAACGAACGAAGTAAAAAGAGTCGAATGTGCCAATCTCTGCCATCTCTACCTGTAAATGACCAGCTGTATCAGGGGCGTAACTAGGGGGCGGGTGGGTGGCCCTACCCTAACTTCTGCAAAGAGGTAGGGTTAGGGCTCTGGAAACGTGGATTAATGGAAATATACTGAGCAAAGGCAATGAAAATGTTTTTTTGGAAATTTTACAATTTCATTATTTTTCTACTTTATTATTGACTTCATTAAATGTAATATACAAAGTACAATCTAGCCCCCCCCCCCCCCCNTTCAGTTACGCCTCTGACCTGCACTCTTCTGCTTGTTTCAACTCGGTGGTGTTTAATCTTGCTTTCTATCCATGCCTCACTAATCCAAACTTTTTTCAATTAATTATTATAAATGTTTATTAAAATATTGTTTATTGTCTTAAATAGTTTCTTAACATTGGTGAAACTATTACGTTAGCCGAATAATTTTTAGTATTTTATTTGTTTTTATATTTGTTGGTTTTCATCTTGAACTTCCCTAAAATTTGAAAATGCATTTTTTAGTATTAACTTTCTAAATGAAGAAATTAGTTCTTTCATTAGCATTTATTAAAATTGGGAATTATCCATATTTCCTGTTGAAAAGTGTTAATTCTCTAATCAACATTGCAATAATTGTTTTGACCAAGGATGTAATGCAAGGAAAGTTATCTCAGAAGTGTACGCATCTTTTGTACTGCAGTGTACTGTCTCATGGCGGTAATGTAAACACAAGACGGACGTTACAGCCTGACGTGGGATCCATCTTTCACATAAAAAATCAATGAAATATTCTGGTCATAGGAAACTATTATGTGAAATATCAAAATTATCAAATTTAATGCTTTTAACCTCCTCGTATACTAAACGAACACTGATGCATCTATTCTTGTTTACAAATTCCGCCCAAAGAGAACTGGTTTCAATATGTACGCAGAGTATACGCAACTGCAATTAACTTTCCTTGCATTACACCCTTGGTTTTAACAAAGTTGTGAAACTTATATTTGGGGGAGATAATTGTCAATCACTCGTCATAAAGTCCCAACACTTAAATACACCTGACACCATTTAACCATTTATTCATCAAAATACCTGGGAGTGAAAGCATCAAAGGGATTGTAGTAACAATTTCAAGAGACAACATTTAGAGAGTAGCATGTTCGAGTCACAACGGTACTATTAGAAGTTTTGTCTTAATGAGATTATCCATGTTATTTTCAATCAAGGCTTTTTTATTATAGTGATTTGCGCAATTTGCATCTATACCGCAGAAACAATGGGAGGAAATGATCAAAATTAAAAACTTTTTTACTTGCTGCTTCCCTTCTGCTTAGATTAACTCTCATTGGCAAAGTCTTTATTTGTTTCCATGTTTTGATGATGCCTCTTAATTAACTCTAGAAATATTTCTTCAACCCCGCCAACCCCCCTCTGAAAAGGTTTGGGTTGTTCACGTTAAAACTAAAGCTTTGTGTTAGGAAAATGAATTTAAACTTCTGCGGAGTAGCTGCACTAATGAGGAGATTGTAGAGGTGAGATTTTTTGAGAAAAACTTGACAAAACTTAATTATAACTCGAAAACATTCAGAGTTGGAAATTAATGAATGAAGAAGGGTCTTACTTGCCTATCTAAAGCAGTAGTTGAATTAGTCGACCTAGTTCACCTACCTCACTCTATTTACAAACACATACCTCTAGGAGGTTTGATATCCCCCCCCCCCCTCCAACCCTTCGATGATAGATGATTGATGATGACTCCAAATCCGATTTTACCTCGGTTTTTGTTATTTTACCACAAAATCTAATAAAAGTTTTAAAAAATGATGAAGAAAAAAAAACTATTTTTTAATTGGAAACTATATATGTATGTACGTAAAAAATAATAAAATTCCTGAGCCCAAACCTTAAAACAGGGTATCCAGCTTTGCAACCTGTTTTTCACGAATGGGGTAAGGCAGTTTTTGTGGATATTAATATTTTTGTTTAATTTAGTATTAATTTAGTTTCTTCATATTTTCTATTTTTTTTTTCAAATCTCTTAGATCAAAATCTACACAAATGTTAAGACCCCGAAAAGGAAAATCTTTTAAATTTCGGGCTCAGTATGAAAACAAAGTAAACTTACCTGTTCATCTTACAGAGACATTATAATTACCGTTTTCGTAGAATTATCTCTAGCAAACATAATTATGATATGAATTTGAAATAAACTATTACACTACTACTTCTTGACAAGAAAGATCACTAATTCGTCACTCAATTCCTATGTTTATTGGGACACCCTGTAGCTATAGTATGGAAAACAATAGGGGGCTCTATATAATGCATATTGTTACTTTAATTACTATTAATTAATTAATGTATATTTAACTAACGAATATGCCAATAAGAAATATATAATTATACATCTATTCCTTTCCAGTAGGTGTTGATTTGAATTTAAGCCACTGAATTCGCGAAGATCTGACTTTTCTCCTGAAATAATTAATTAACAATAAGACATTTATATGCTATTGTCTGATTGTGTCCTTGTTCTTTAAAAGAAGTCTATATATGTTGCTAATTTTGCGTTTTCGTTTGCATTTGCGCTTCCATTGTAAAATGAAATTTTATTAAGTAAATATGAATTGGCGACCATTAGTAAATTATGCATGAACTGACATTGATTGTGCTTGAGAAAACTGCAGTCTCTTCTAATTGTTTAAAGGGACTATACACATAATTTCAAGTCACTCACATTTATAGAGTGGCATGTTCGAATCACAACGGTACCCTACTTTGTCTGATCAAGAATGCATCATCTTGTCTTTGAAAATTGATAACTTTAAATTATTAAAGGTTTCTCGATAAAGTGGCATGCGCATTTCTGCCTCAGATTAAAGTACACATAAAGCATTAAATCAGAAAAAACTTTTCGTTTGAAGGGTACTGTTCTGAATCGGGCATGCCCCTCTCTTTTAGGCGATGCGGAGTGTTCCAACAGGGTTAACAATATTGCCTAAACAGGAGGCTCTACCTAATCATACTTTTGTTAGGTAAGCTAATAGTATAGTTAATTTGAATTCATATTCATTATTTTAATCTCTATAATATTTTAAAAGGACTGTAGGCGTAGTTTCAAAAGGCCGATTCACAACGATACCTTTTAAACGGCTTTCTAAGCAACAATCAAAAAGTCGTCATCAGTTTCCAATCCTGAAGTTTTAAATCCTTACAATTTTCTGTATTTTCTCTGACGTTCTTAAATCCGCCAGTCAAAGGTTAAAAGTGTACCATTGTCAATCCAACATTTCACACCCAAAATGGAGGGTCACTTGAAATTACGTCTACAATCTCTTTACGATCTGACATTAACGTCGGATGTCCGACGTTAATGGCAATAAATTTATAAGAAATCCCTTAAACGTAACAGATAGAAGTAATATTAGTAGCGATCAGAAGCGCTTATTTTTCGCCGTAAGCTTTCATTTTTCGCGAACACTCGCCTTAAATATCAAGATTTTCTCATCCCTATATCTTTGGAACCAAATTGCAAATCAGTGAAGTTAGGAATATCAAAGCTTTATGAAATCAAGTTGCAAAGATATAGAGAATAGAAAAATTGAGTTTGTGGAAACGACTCAATTTCTTTGTATTGCTAGTTTACAAATATTGTTTTATTATAAAAAGAAAGCCTGAAGAAAGTAAAATTCAAATTACGATTCTAGAAATTAAATATTCGAATTCAGCGCTGATGCCGTAGTCTGGTTGATCGAGCATGTTGAAGGAATAGACGAGGAATCCTCGGCAGTACAGGTAGGAGGTAGCAGGTAGCAGGTAGCAGGTAGCAGGTAGCAGGTAGCAGGTGAGAGGTAAGAGGTAAGAGGTAAGAGGTAGCAGGTAGCAGGTAGGAGGTAGGAGGTAGGAGGGTAGGAGGTAGGAGGCAAGAGGCAAGAGGCAATGAGGCAAGAAGGCAAAGAGGCAAAGAGGTAGGAGGCAAGGAGGCAATAGGTAGGAGGTAAACAAAAACAATAAGAGAAAAGCTGAGCTGATATTTAGTTGATGAGTAGCCTTCTGAAGGATGGATATATCTGTCATGCTTCCGGTCATCCTTCTCATCCGTTTATTCATGGATTCTACCTGTACTTCTTCAACACTAAAGGAATCCTCGTCTATTTTCAAATATATATTCAAATATTTACAGTCAGTGGAAATCAAGACTCAGCCACCATATCAGTTTTAAATAACACAATCTGTATCTTTGTTTTTAACCAAAATATAAATCAAAGACGAATTTCATTCCGTCGCGTTCTCTACTGTTGAAATGGAACGATATGTCTGATTAACAACGGTACCCTTTAGTTTTTTATTGGATTAAAAAGAATGAGGATATTGTTGTTTTTCTGACGTAAAAAGGTTTAATTTCTCCTAATTTCCTTCCCAGTACTATAGAGAACCGCTATGAAAAATAATCAATTTTGAGATAAATTGAACAGAATCAGATAACCATTTTGCACCAAACAAAGGTTCAGCGGTTACTATTGTGATCCAGTGACAGACCCATAAATGATTTAATACCCGCCCCTGAGCATGTTATAGAACTGATGTAGATATGTAATTATTTATTCAATTATCTGCTGGCGTGTATCCTTCAGTACTAATTGATGCATAGCATAATTATCTTTGTTCTTTGTTTCTTACTTTTTTCTTCCTTTTTAAACATAGCTAACCTTTGATACCTTTTACATAATTTTACCTTTTGCTTTTTTCTCCCTCTTTTATTTAGGTATTACGTCATTTTATTAAAATTTTTTTTAATTAATCAGTTTTTATTGTTTAATTTCAATTTTTGATCGTGATATTGAGGTTTCTGTTACTAAAAAAATGGTTGATCAATGTTCATTGCATGGATATGTTCATTGTTCATGTTATTGCCGAAGGCTAAATTTTGAACCGACCTTCGTTTTTTCTTGGGGGGGGGGGACACATTCCTGATTTAAAATGTGTTCCTGACTTAGAACGCGTTCCTGATTTTGACGTTATTTTCAATTCCACGTTCTTTCTTTTAATAATCGTTCTAATATTATAAGAACGCTTTCTATGTGTTCGTTCTTTTTTAGGAACCATGGGATCGTTCTTGATAACTCCGTTCGTTCTCGTGAATAACGATCGTTCCCCAGGCACGACGCCCAGTCCTATCTGTAACCTGTATGTATTACTATTAAGTTATAAATTAGTTTAGATTCTATTTGATTAATTGTGTCCTAATCTTATATTCCCAGATTTTCTTCTTTTTAATTTATCTCCCAGGTTCAATCACTCTGTTGTTATTGTATTATATTGTCCTATAATTAAATTGGTTTATAGGATTCTTGCTGAGTTTACTTTACAGAGGAAGATGGTATACAGGGCGTTCCAATAAACATGGAAATTTAAAGAAGACATGAAAATCGTCTTTTGATTTCCAATAATTGACAAATGACATAAAGTACATAAAAAGGTTTAAATTCTAATGAGCTTTTCAAAATGTGGTCTACCTTCTTCGTATCATTAAAAATGACGGAGATATTAAACATTTGAACAGTTTTATTTTTAATAACTGGAATTTGGTCAAATCTCTAATTCTCCGTCAATTTTGAAGTTAAAAAATTGGTAGACCACATTTTGGAATTCCCGAGACATGGTAGTATTCAGTGTTAAATGTTTTAACTGTGATAATATAAAATTATGTTCATGAAATAAGCTAGAATGGAACAAAGACGACATAGAGAAGTCGTAATTTAATTTCCATGTTTATTGTACACATTTTAAAAAGGAATTTGACTTTTTTGAAGACTATACTAGACCAAAAAACACAGGAATCGGCTGACGATTTGTTTGTCGTCTTGGAACCACGTGGTACTTTTTTTAGAAACAAAATTATTATTTTCGCTTAAAGAAATTCCGATGAAAACGTTTAGTCTTGGGATTTCAAAAATGCAGTATGCCACTCTTTAACTTTGAAATTGAAATTTGTCCAGATTTTTTTGTATCAAAATTGTTTTGATATCTTAAACCTCTTCATCTTGTGATTTGTTTTGTTTACACCTTTTCGTTTAAATTGAAGTTTTGAAATTTGAAAATATATGTGTAGAGAAGGATGGAGGATCTATTTACAATGGGGACTGGGAGGCATTTCAGGTACTCAATTGTTTACAGGGATAGTGGACGTATTTTTATGATAATTTAATTATCAAGTGGCATGTCTGATTCACAATGGTTCCCTTTAAACCTTTTGCTGCTCATGAATGAGATTTTTTTAGCTAGAATATTATTATTTTGAATTGTGGTTTCTGTAATAATTTGACTTGCAGAATTATGCTGCAAAGACAATGTGCAATGAAAGGAATTATCAACATTCAACACGTTTAATTCATTTTCCTCAGTTTTTAATTAGATGATAAGGATAACCCCGTCATCCTTGATCAGTCAACGGTTTAACGGATACACCTATGAATCCGACAAAATCTTCAAACTTTAAATTTTAAATTTTTTCCTCAGTGATTATTTGTGATTATTCCAAAAGCTGTCATTCCTCTAGTCTAGCTTTGTGTTCTCTGTTATGTGATCTTTGTTCTAAAAGTGTATCCTCTATTCCAAATATTTGTCCAATATTCTAACAATGTATCCTCTATTCAAACTGTTTGTCCTCTATTCCAAATATTTGTCCAATATTCTAACAATGTATCCTCTATTCAAACTGTTTGTCCTCTATTCTAACAATGTATCCTCTATTCCAAATATTTGTCCTCTATTCTAACAATGTATCCTCTTTTCTTACGATGCATGTATCCTCTATTCTTACGATGTATGTATCTTCTATATTATAACAATTTGTCCTCTATTCTAACAATGTATCCTCTATTATAACAATATGTCCTCTATTCTAACAACGTATCCTCTATTAAAACAATGTGTCCTTTATTCTAACAATGTATCCTCTATTATAACTATGTGTCCTCTATTCTAACAATTTATACTCTAGTCTAATTATGTGTCCTCTATTCTAACAATGTGTCCTCTATTATAACAATGTGTCCTCTATTCTAGCAATTTAACTTCTACTATAACTATGTATCCTCTATTCTAACAATGTATCCTCTATTATAACAATGTATCCTCTATTCTAACAATGTATCCTATAGTATAACAATGTATCCTCTTTTCTAACAATTTATCCTCTATTCTAACAACGTATCCTCTATCATAACAATGTATCCTCTATTCTAACAATGTATCCTCTATTATAACAATGTATCCCCTTTTCAAACTGTGTGTCCTTTATTTTAAATATGTGTACTCTATTCTAACAATGTATCCTCTATTCTAACTGTGTGTCCTCTACTCTAACAATGAATCCTCTATTCTAAAAATGTATCCTTTATTATAACAATGCGTCCTCTATTCTACCAATGTATCCTCTATTCTAACAATGTATCCTCTATTATAACAATGTATCCCCTTTTCAAACTGTGTGTCCTTCATTCTAACTATGTGTCCTCTATTCTAACAATGTATCCTCTATTCTAACTGTGTGTCCTCTCCTCTAACAATGAATCCTCTATTCTAACAATGTATCCTCTATTCTAACTGTGTGTCTTCCATTCTAACTATGTGTCCTCTATTCTAACAATGTTTCCTCTATTCTAACTGTATATCCTTTATTCTAGCAATGCATCCTCTATTCTCACTGTACGTGTGTCCTCCATTCTAACTATGTATCCTCTTTTATAATGATGTATCTTCTATTATAACAATGTATCCTCTATTCTACCTATGTGTTCTCTATGTGTCTGTAGGCGGACTGGATGGAGGTTGAGCTTGACTATTGTAGACCTCAAGGAGAGGAGGAAGGAGGACTACGCTTCCTTGAAGAGAATCTACCTGACCGCTATACAGGAACTGATAAATTTAGGTAGAAATATCAAGTTTTTCAAGAACTCGGAACTTTTGTTTTGTGAATCTTTGGATCCAAACATCCTTTAGTTACATTGATCTAACACATCTTATAGAGCCTGGTTACGTTGATCTAATACATCTTATAGAGCCTGTTCCTAGGATCCAGATATCCTTTAGTTACGTTGATCTAACGTCTTACAGAGCCTGTTCCTAGGATCCAGATATCCTTTAGTTACGTTGATCTAATACATCTTATAGAGCCTGTTCCTAGGATCCAGATATCCTTTAGTTACGTTGATCTAACACATCCTATAGAGTCTGTTCCTTGGATCCAGATATACTTTAGTTACGTTGATCTAATACATCTTATAGAGCCTGTTCCTTGGATCCGAATATTTTAGTCACGTTGATCTAATAAATTTTATAGAGCCTGTTCTTTGGATCCGGATATATCAAAGAAATCTGAACGCCCTGAATGGGGAGAGGTCAAATACCAATCAAAATACAGGTAAGTTTATTGGTCATGAAATAATTTTAGAAAAGATCGACCTTTAGCAAACCATAAAAATTGTTAATATTCCTCACAAGAGTAACACGTATTTTTTCCCCCCTGTTTTATATTTATGTTGTTAATTTTCCTTAACCCTATTCCAGCCCCCACCCCGACTATTTTTCAAAAAGTATTGTTAAATAACTTACATGTTTGTGAAGCACTTTTAACGTCAAAAACCCCTAAATGTCTTTTATTATCAAAGTTTAACTTTATAGTTTTAATTTCTATTTTTGTTGTTCTAGGCCGGACCAAGCATTTGAAATCTTGATAAAATGGAGTGTTGCAACCGGTAAATAAACTCTGATTAATCATTTAATGATTTTCGGAATTATTTTTGCTCAAATTTATTTTGTAATTCTGCTGTTTTCTAACGGTGTTTTATTCGTTTTGTTGAAAATATTTTTTTTTTTTTAAATAAAATCATCCAAACCAAATATTTCAGGAGCGCTTTTAGCGGAGCTGATTAAAACATGGACTATCAGGAAAACATGGGTTTAATAACGATACAAAATAAATATATTTCATATTTTTATTCTGCTACAAAGCATGAGATATTACAAATAAGCGATCACTATTTACTATGCAGTGTGGACTCGCCTATGGTATGTTGTTATGAATATATAATATTTTGAATGATCACGGAAACATTTTTTATATTTCGAATGAATAAATGAATGTTTATTTTTAATGTGCTTTAATGTGCTAAATATGCTTTAGATCCGGATCCAACTCACGCATTTTTCTTCTAGGCTTGCTTATTACTTTTCACAAGAAACAAATGTCAAAAATTTGTGTTGTTCAAATATTTTTTACTTACAAACTTTACTTTACTTTTATTAACCATAACAATTAACACCCATACAATAATAACTACAGAAAAAAGGACTTAATGATATCTCATTTAAAACATGTGTAAAGAAAGTATTTTCTGTGTTTTGGTTGATATTTGGACTCCGGATCTGTTCCTGCATATTTTTCCGGATCCAGTATGCTAAAATCTTGCGGCTCCATTGATTATATCAGATCCTAAGCCCTGCAATGATCCGCAACCTTAAACCCAATGTTCCTTAGAGCCCAGACTAATCAGCTGTTTATTATTCCAATACCTGGAGATCCTTTTGCTCTTCCCTCACAGAACTCTGATCCTATCCGGGGACCAATATTCGTTCCTCTCAACACTGATTGCCTACGGTATATAATATGCTTCCCTATTTTTCATGTTAAAACATACAATTGTATTGTTAAGTTTTTTTCTGCCTTAACTATCGTAATTTAAAAAAAAATATTTTTCGACAAGGAAAACTTCTATTTTACCTTTGGTTCACTTTTAAAAAAAACTTCTAACTGTCTAGTTTTTTTATGTATTTTGCGCTTTTTGGGACTTAAGTCATAAGTATTAAGTAAACCTCGATTGACAACGGTTTCCTTAAAATCTTTAAATCTAATCATAGAGGACGGGAAATTAATAATTTTTCTCGCTGAAAACAGAGTTTTCTCAGTTTAATAATAATAACAAAAGAAACAATATCTTCAAGTTGATTTACAAGTGTAATATGTAACAACTAAATCCTGAAAACTAAATATCGCCGTTGTAAAACTTTGATATTTTTACCTTATCAGTAAAAGATTTAAAGGGTACCGTTCTGAATCGGACATGACACTCACTGAATGAAGGGATTGTTTACTAATAGGGTTGGAGGAGAGCATCTGTTCTACATGTTCCCAGAGTCAACTAGGGACCATAGGCTCTTCCTTTTCAGGGAGGAGATTGTTAAAAGGTTAGTTTAGTAGTTCATTTTCAAGGAGATTGTCAAAAGCTTAGTTTAGTAGTTCATTTTCAAGGAGATTGTTAAAAGGTTAGTTTAGTAGTTCATTTTCAAGGAGACTGTTAGAAGGTTATAGTTTAATAGTTCATTTCCAAGGAGATTGTTAAAAGGTTAGTTTAGTAGTTCATTTTCAATGAGATTGTTAGAAGGTTATAGTTTAGTAGTTCATTTTCAAGGAGATTGTTAGAAGGTTATAGTTTACTATTTCATTTTCAAGGAGATTGTTAGAAACCAGTATACAGGATTAAATAAATATCTGAGAGATAAAGAGGCGTCAGACAGAACAATCAAATCCGAAAATATTTTAATATGTAGTCCTTTCATCCTAGAGACACTGCAGTGATATTTATTTAAATATAATCGGATAATAATTCATCCTTGGAGAGAAAATTTTGAAGTGTAGGTTGGTTTTTTAACACTCTAGATCATCTATCCTTATTTGAGTTCATGTTAGGTTCAGATTCAGGTTCAGATTCAAGTTCAGGTTCAGGTTAGGGCCAGGTTCAGGTTTAGGTTCAGGTTCAGGTTCAGGTTCATATTCAGGTTCAGTGTCCGAATTTAATGAATTTGAGCCGCATCTTAAATCCGCCAAAAACCGGTTTCCATTGAGTACCAGCTTAAATCTTGAAACATTGAATACAATTTTAAGCGAAACCAACCATTTTTGAGCCGCGGCTTAAATTTAAGCCAACGCTCAAATTCTTTAAATTCGGCCTCAGGTTCAGGTTCAGGTTCAGGTTCAGGCTCAGGTTCAGGTTCAGTCTCTGGCTCAGGGAAAGGTTAGGGCCAGGTTGGGGTTCAGGTTCACAATTTAAAGTCTTATGTTTAGGTTCACAATCATATTGTCTACTTGAGACTTGAGAATAGGCTTATCTAGCTATATAAAGTTCAACCACTTCATGCTATTTCATTTCTGACCTTAGAATCTAGATCTAGAGCTGGATCAGCTGAATAACTGAAAGTAATATTATTCAGGAAATATGTTTGTTTTGATTCCAACCACACTTCAGACCCGTCAGCTTCCTCCAGGAATCCAGGGGATCAAGCCTAAGGTATGTTAAAGCTTCCTCCGGGAATCCAGGGGATCAAACCTAAGGTATGTTTAAGCTACCTCCAGGAATTCAGGGGATCAAACCCAAGGTATGTTTATACCAAGGAGTTATATCAAGAATTATGTAGGAATTTGTTAACTCAGAGGTAATATTTTATTCAACAATTAGTTCTCCCCCCCCCCCCCACAAATCCTTTTTTTCAAGACAGGGAAAAAAAATTTTGATTTTTGGTGATTTTTTAGGATAAAAAAAATCAAAATGTGGATTTCCGATTTTTTACTTTCTCCAGGAATGAGTTGGCTTCCTAGGCAGAGCATGAGAATCTTAGACCATGATTGAGCAAGTCTGATTTTATTTGATTTAAACTCCTGTGATCATGCTTCATGTAATTTTGTGTTTTGTTTTGTAGGGGAGTCAACCGAACTTGGAGATTATGGATCGAGAATCCCAAGATCCAGATTCAGATCCAGATTCAAGATCCCTTATATCTCGCCATCCAGCTGGTAATCATTCATTCATCCCTGTACCCATCAATCTCATTCATCCTTTCATCCTTTCACCCTTTCATTCCTTCATCCTATCATAAATCCATCTTTTCATTTATTTGTTGAAAGTATTGAAAGGGTGTCCAATTAAACACTCTTAACTTTACTTGTTCTTCTTTTTGATAATTTTCCAATAATTTAATTTTTTTTCAGAAACATTTATCTATATAATAAAGCTTTTCGCTTATTTATGTGTTTGATATAGCTGACCAAACTGCTGAACCAAATTGGCTGAATTTTTTAGGGAAATTATACGGCTATGGGTACCCCGGTGGCTACATACTACATAGGCTAATAAAAGGAATTATTTTTTTAATTCCACGGGAAACCCCGGGCACGGTTAAAATCGTGATTTAAGACCAAGTGCGGGTAAACGGGAATGTAACAATGAGTAACCTGGGTCACTTCAGCTAGTTTTAAATTATAGTATTTACTATTTACTATTTAATTTGAAGTAATAAAAAGAAGAGCCATTAAGCCATCATTCAGTGTAGTTTGGTATTATTCTCTTAATACAGAATGATTTGAAATTTAAATTTGAAATGATAGATTTATAGTTTGACATATTTTATCCAGGGGATAGTATACCTGTGATGTATGAGCAGGGTGAGACTGGTTTCCTCTGGTCCTGGAATTTCATGATCTCGAAGGTAAACAATAAATAATTGAACAACAACATGCAAGGGTGCATATTTTCCTTGAAAATCATCCCCCCCCCAAAAAAAATTTAATTAATAAATTTCCTGGTAAAAAGTAAGGCAAAGGATTTTAAAAATGTTCCTTTCATGTCAAATCTTCAAAAATCCTTCTCCCCTTGATGGGGGTAATTCTTGAAAATATACACCCTTGACAACATGTCAACATAGAAATCCACTCTACGGTAGGAAAGAACCCACTCAATGGTCTGTACGAGGGGGGGAGTCCAGAGTTTCTCAAATAGTAATCACCGCCACCCAAATCTGTTTTGCGGCAAGCGCGCTCCTCAATTGGTAATCTCCACCACCTCAAATAGTAATCACCCCAAAAAAGCATAAAATTAAATCGTTTATTTCTTAGAAATAAGACCATATTGACCTCTTTTAATGGCCCTATGGTGTACAATATTGTTAAAGCTTTCTTTATTGCTCCTTAGTTTCGAAAATAAATCAATAAATATGCCACACTAAGTGCTAGAAATATATTACGTTTTTTAGTTTCAAGTTTCGCTTTAAGAATGTTTGCGGCATTTTCCTCTGAATGTTGTTTTAAACTCCTTATATGCAGAGGAAACTTTAACCCATTATTAGTGGACTAAATACTTTATTTTCAGTAGTTGGTGTGATGAGACTAATTTTTCAAAATTTTATGTTCTTTCTATGCATATAATTAGTTTTGTTGTAGATGTTGAACTCGAGTTGGCTAATACAAAAATCTAAACACTGTAAAGGTTTTTTGAAAATATCTTTTAAATGGAGATTGATATTACTTTGTGCGCGATGAGATAATTTTTAGTAAACAGGCAACCCGACCTTTTTTGTATCTTGACGCCAATCATGAAATGTAGTCATTAAAGTGGCCAATTGGATCTAAGATTCGGCTAAAATGAACTGTGCCTTGATTCTCAGTTTTTGTTGACCAAAAAAATCTGAAAATAATTTGAAAATTTAGTTTAAGTCAATACAGATGCCATATAACCCCGATAGATGTCGAAAATTGTGTTAAAAGTGCATTAAATTCAAATCACATAAAACAAAATTTTATGGTGATTACTATTTGAGGTGGTGGAGATTACCAATTGAGGAGCGCGCTTGCCGCGAAACAGATTTGGGTGGCGGTGATTACTATTTGAGAAACTCTGGACTCCCCCCCTCTCTGTACTCTATAGGGTTGAAAAATTTTTGCATTAGAAAATAATTTCCTCCTGTACCTTCAACAAAGAATGATGAATCAAATTGTTTTCTTCCCCCTTATATCAGAAAAAAAATCCAACAATTCAGTGATAATCAGAAAACAATGGAATAGAAAGACGACATTATACAATAACTTCTCTCATGATCAAAATTTGGCAAAGTTATTAGAAGAAATAATTTTGAAAATTTCAAAACTTAAAGATTTTTGTGAAATCTTTTAAAGTTTTAAAAAATTAACCATGTTATTGCGCATCACTAATGTACATTTTTATAATGGGTAATTTTATGTACTTTGATAATTTGTTTTGTTATTAAGTTTCATTTGATTTGAATTCTTATCTTCGTTGTAGAATGTAGATGCTAAAACCTGACAAAACTTGATTTGAATTTAAAAAGATAAAACTAGCTTATCCCGGGTTAAAGTCTGGAGAAAAGATTTAAAGAATTTTAAAATGAAAGAATTTAAAGGTGTGTAACGACCTCGGATTTATAGGGATATGTAAACTTAATCAAAATTCAAGCGAGGGAGTCATATTTATTTTTTGGCTTCATCAGAGGTTTTTAGCATTTAATTATCTTTAACCTTCTTGAATATAAAAAAATTTTGCGGGCAAAACTTACATTTTTTAATTTAATCATGAGGAGAATCATCGAAATGATAATTTTGTTTGATTTTATAGATTTTGATAAATATACTATATTGAGATCAGAGAAAATTAGGATTTTAATTCCTTGTTAATAGTTTCTGTCTTTCTAATAAATTTTTCAATTTATCAAAACAAACATTTTATAAAAATGAAAATTTCTCAACCGTATTTTATCGAATAGGGTTCAAGATATTGTAAATACTTAAGTATTTTCTGAAACGATCTTTGCTATTATCATTTATATCCGATATTTGTGTAAAGAGAATCTGTGATAAACCTTTTTCCGCAGACCCCGGTTCATTTGTAGTAATGACACGACTTGTTTATTTAATTAGAAATTAAATATAGACATGAGTATATAACTTTTACATATACAGTGAGAAAACTGTTAGACTGATATTATGGTTTTTAAAAAGTCTGAGGAATTCAACACACATAATTGTTCAGTATACACTTTCCCATTGCACTCAGTAAGTTTATATTCAAGCTACCGGTAAATTCATTTTTTTCATATTTCGTCTTTCTCTTCCACCGTTTTATTGAAAACATCTTAATTTCCCAGTTTCTTCCCTGTTCAGTACTCATGATAATCCATTAACCTTCTTCCTTGCATAAACTGAGGCCGAATTTAAAGAATTTGATTCGCGGCTTAAATTTAAGACGCGGCTAAAATATGGTTGGTTCCACGTAAAATTGTATTCAATGTTTCAAGATTTAAGCCGGTGCTCAATTGAAACTGGTTTTTGGCGGATTTAAGACACGACTCAAATTCATTAAATTCGGACTCTGAACACGGTAAAGGGACTGTAAGCTTGATTTCAAGTGACCCTCCATGCAATGCCTGATTTTCAAGCTTTGTTTGATCAAGTATGAATTAGAAATGTATTATTTGTTTATTTTCATTTGTGGTTTCTGTGCTAATGCGACTTGAGCAGTTTTTAACTTTTAAGAAGCAATGGAGAAATTCACTGAAACTAGCAAAAAAACGACGTTGTCTTTCACATTTTTGATTTGATTAATGTTTCAAGTGAACCTTTATTAAGCGGGAATTGGCATCTTTACATGGAGGGTCACTTGACATTACGCTAACATTTCTTTTAAACTAAAGTAGATTCCATGTTAGATTGAAATCTTATATGCTTTCAATCTAAACTCATTTTTTTCAGAGCTATTGGGAAGAACATTTATGTTTTGTTTTTATAATGTAAAACCAGAGCTGAAAACTTCAGAATGGAATATCGTTAATCCCGATCGTTTAATTAATCTGGGAGATTACTAACAAGAGGAGCACAATCATTATTTAATCTCGAGATTAAGAAAAAGAGTGGATCAAGCATTAATCTCGATTTACACCATTCAAAAGTTCCCAGCTCAGATCACATTTTGTGCGTAGAAAGAAAACTAAAGGAGCTACGACGTCACATAGTCGTACCAGTAATGTTGAATAAATTTGGCTGTCTCCTTCTATCTTTGCAGTGTGAATGTTTAGAAATGGAAGAATATGTCTGTTACTGGAGCTACCGGAGATATTGGATTCATGGACAAAGTTCTTCTTGATTTCAGGTGGAAATTAAAATTTCACTTTTCAGAAATCAGAACTTTTGTGTTGTTAATCTCGGGATCAAGCATTTATCTCCAGCTTATGCAGATCTACGGATTAATATTATTCTTCCTTTGATATCCTGTGGTGGTCGGACTTTAATTGAGGGATCAAACATTGATCCTCAAATTTAAAAGTTTCCACACTGGATATCGAGATCAAGGGTGCAAGATTAACGATACTTCGAAGAAAAGTTTTGATCTCCGACAAAAATACCTTGCAGTCTGCGTTGACCCAGGAGAGATCTTTAAAACTCCCAGTTTATTTCAATAAAGTTTTGACAAACTTAAAAATATAAATCAGCGACAAAGAACAAAAATAATTTAACAACTCTGGGGTAAATTTGTTTTGGTCGTTTTTTTTCATTTCTTATGAAATATATTTTCATCTGAGAAATTAGGGGGTACATTGTTAATCAAGCGGACAAAATGTTTTTAGGGTTTCATTTTTAGACTGAATTAATCTAAATAGAAGAGTTCTCTTCTTTAAATAATTATTGATAAATTTTGAATTATTTCTACTGGTTAAATATTTAAGAACTTCTTGTATATTTCACTGAAACATATGTAATCAATATCTATGGTAAATTATCCATTATCTTGAAGAAAAATTTGTTTTTAGAAAATTCTGCAGCAATGATGATGGTAGACTTGAGCAGTTTTGGGAACAGTGTCTAGACTCTCAACATCTTCAAGATCTTCAACCAACTTAAAGAGAATTAAACCTGACTTCAGGTGACCCTCCATATATAGAGTGACATGTTTGATTCACAAAGGTACCCTTAAAAGCTTTGCCCTCTCAAGAATAAAATCCGGGTCATGTTTCTTCTTTAATGTTTGATTATTTTTAAATGTGGTCTAACTGTATGTAAAGTGGGTTACGAATTTCTGAAGATGGTTTAAAGGTGCCTTATGTTCTTCTTTTCAAATTTTTGAAGACGCTTTTTCCCCTTTTTTGAGACATACCCAAAATTTTTATTTTCCCTAATTCAGCAAAGGATAAAACTACCCTTAAAAAGATTTCTATTATCAGGGGAAAATGAAAATTAAAATCTTTACAATACATACTTTTAGCCTGATTTCTGGCAATATGATTATGATATCAGAATTGGAAAGATTATTTCTGACAATATGGTTTTGATACGGTGGTAGGTAAGGCCTATTAACCAGTATAATAAAGACGACATCAGCTTTGCTTTCTATCCAGCTTGCTTGTATACAAAGGACAGCTGTGAATAAAAAAGAGAAAATATTCTTTGTTTTTAGATATTATTGTTTTATAACATAAAATGGGATAACTTTAAATATAATGTAATATAGAAATTTAGATATATTTACTAGTTCCTATTTTTGGGATATTTAACCCTGATATCACATAGCGCTATGCAGTACGTACTTTGATAACATGTGTACTGCATGTGTTTTGATGTTTAGTTAATTTAGAAGCTTATCAATTATATTTAAAAATAAAATATTACATATATAGCAAAGAATATTTGCCTGTCAAATTCACAGCTTCCCTTTGTTTACATGCAAGCTGCACTAGAATCACTGCAAACTAACCAGGAGAAGAAGGTCAGATTCAATTGACTTTACTTATACAACTTTGTGACTCCGTTGCTCCTTTAGTTCTAATTTTATACACAAGTTAACTAAAAGCAAATTTATCCGGTTAAATATTAGAAATTCAAAACATTTTTGTTCTTCAATATCTCTTCGATTAGAGGAGTTATGATAAAAACACATTAGATTTTAATCTAACGTGCATTTTACTTTAGTTTGACGTGGAATGTCGTCAATATTATATTTGTTGATAAGACAACCCAAGAATGTAATGCAAGGAAAGTTAATTGCATTTGCGTATACTCTGCGTACAAAAGATGCGTACACCTCTGAATTAACTTTCTTCGCATTAAATCCTTGAGACTACCACTGTATCATGCTGGGATAGGAAAGAAATATAATCTCCGAAGAAATAAATTTCTACTAGGGACAGGTGAAGATGGAAAACTGGAGAAAAGAAATGATTTAATGATGATTGAAGATGTTAGGGTTCACTGCTTTAACTCACACATTGCCCCCCCCCCCCCCCCCCCCCCCCCCCCTTTTATGGGGGGGGGGGGGGGGGGGGGCATACTATGTCATTAAGTAATTTTTAGCATTGGATAGCATCACTATTTTATAGTTGCTGCATATTTATAATTTACGCTAATTGTCAAGATTTAAAAGTGTTAGAGCAGAAGAAGGCTTTTCCTTCCAGCTTTTTGAAAAAATATATTTTCTTATTTTAAATACTATTTATGTAAATTTATTGTTTATAGTAATTTTATATATTTGTACGGACATCATTTTAAACTGTTGAATAAAATTTTTTTTTGATATTTTGTTATAAGTCTTAATCAGGTTGTTAAAAAAAGTATTATTATCATTATTGTTAATATTTTTCTATTCAATTCATTCTTCAAAGGATACCATAGAAAAAAACTCATTTAATTTGTTGGAAGCACTTTAATATCTAGAAGTTTAATTTGCCCTTCACAATGATATCATTTAATTCCATTCTTCTGAAAATGAAGTATTTATATTCTATGGTTTTAAGCTTATTAGAGTAATCCGCTTAACTTCAGCGCTTTGCCAGAATAATTAAATTTTCAATCCTCGACTAAGTCAACTTGATAAGAAATAGTTAAAATTAAAATCTATTAATGAGTAAAGATCGAAAAAAAATTTTCAATGTCTGTGTTCACTGTTCATGTCAACTGAAACTCCGGAAACATATTACAGTTTGAATGAGGGAAGGGTTTAGATAAGGTTTTATTGTTTCTTAACTTTTTACTTTCAAGTTTTCATCAAAAGAAAGAAGCAATTCAACTAACATTTCAGCAAATCATTCTATTTTGATGTTAATAGGTATTTTCTTACTCATCAAAGATAACTGCGGCTGGAGAAAAAGCTGATTTACATTTAAGAACTCCAGTGTAAATGTACAGAACCTTTGCCTTGAACACCAAATTTTCAGTAATAACAGCCCAAGAAAATGTAAAATTATCATATTTCAATTCCATTATATACTATATGAAAAATTTTGATATCTGAGTTTGCAAGAAATTTACGTTTTTAGAATTAAAATGTTTAAAATGTTACCATGTTACCATTTAAAGTGGTATGAAATAAAGGAAATTTAAAGCAATCCAAGTAAATCTACAGAATGAATGAAAAAATGTTTAATTAAATGTAAAAAAGACCAAATAAAATGATACTAATGAATCATGGCAAGCCGGAGCTCTCTGGCAGACTATCCACCTTTCATTCGCCTCGTACGACGAGTTAATCTCCCGTTTTCCGATTCTTCATGCTAACTAACTTTCATTATGGTTTTAGCCCAGGCCGATCCTATTTCCTCCTCCCTCATGTCAAGTCGCGTTTCCTGCCTATTGGCTTGAATTTAAGATAGAATTCCCGGTCCAACAGTGGTTTTGGTTTTCCACGCATTCAAATCATGCTTTAATAGCATGTTTGTGGGCTGGCATCTTTTAATGAATAAATCTCTCTACACTGTATAGATGAAGCGACTTATCATCTGTTCCACTGCTGTTTGTAAGTAAGCCTCTCTGAGGGAGGGGGGGCCATGCGGCCATGAACCCCGCAATTGCCTGTTCGAACACAGGTAGTTTGCAGAACCCTGTTCGAACCCCGCAGAAGCCTGCTCCAACCCCGCGAAAGCCTGTTCCAACCCCGCCAAAGACTGTACAAAAAATTACCTTTTAATAATAAATGACTTTAAAAAGAAAAAAATTCAAAAATTGAAACGTGCGGGAATAGGTAACAAAATTCTTTTAGCTTCAAGATAAATATCAATGCTTTAAAACTCGTTTTAAGCGTAAAATTTTGTCTTGCTAGATTTAATGATTACTTTAAATGAGCTGACCGCTGTGATAAAGAGGTAATAATTAAAATCTTCCATATAAATGTAAATTGCAACTAATTATTTATCCAAAAACTGATTCCGATTCATCAAAAGTGTGTATGAAGTATATAATTTTGATATTAATGTTTTTTCTAAAATTGCTTTGACCACTTTTAATTTAGACTTTTATATGAAATCATTAATTTTGTTGATTAAATTCAGATTTTTTCTTTATTCGTAAACCCTAACGATATTTATAAACTTCGTGCTTTACAAATTATTTTGAATTAAAGTTTGCAGAGTTTGATTAAATTTACGTGTATTACGTCAGGTAGTGAATGTAGAAACCAGCCCGGCCCGGCACGGCCCTCCTCTGTCTGTCTGCAAAACTGTGTGAAATGCNCGAAACAATTCTTCTCCACACAACCCTCCCAGTCCCAACATAGCTGAGGCCCAGGGGCACATTTAGAATAAATATATATCGTGTGAGAGGGGCATGAACTTGTCAAAAACTATCTAAAAAAAGTTTGTAATTTGTAGGGATTATACTGTCAGTGTCCGCCCCACGATCCTTTCTTCATAACCCATGCCCTCAATCAATTATCTTATTTATTTTCAAACCGCGTAACGAACCCAAATACTTTTTTAATCCCATCCCTTTGCGTGCAACTTTGTGTTTTCATGCCGCGTTCTTATCAGTTTTTTTACAGAAGCGATACAAAACCCTTCTCCAAAAAACCTGCCGTTTTCCCAACCCCTGCCGAAAAAATAACATCCTGCCGTTGTTCAGCAAGCTGCTTCCTGCCCGCCGTATTGAATGTGGTAAAAACAGTGCTGTGTTAGAAATATAAAGTTTAAGAAAAAATTAGAAAAAAGAATCAAAATATTCACAATTGACTATAAGATACTACAGTTTAATTATATATTTGAAATTTTTTTTAATCCATGATATAGACAGAGCTATTTTCTTTCCCCTGAAAATACCCAAATAAGTAAACGGTCCCTTTAAAAATTAAAAATGTTTTATATCTGTCTTCATGGAAATCAAATTGGTATCTTACTGAGAGGAGGGGGCCCTGTCATGTTTACAATATTTATGATGTTAAGAAACTTAGTTTGTAGAGAAACCAACTTTTTCCTGATTGAATTAGAAGAAAAAACTTTTGTTGGAAGTAAAGTGTCTAACATAACTCAATTAACAAAAATAATTCTTGCTGCGTCAAGCCCATTAAAGTTTGCAGAGTTT